TTGGAGGGTCGGGGGACTTACTAACTGGTTATTTTATAGACTTATAAGTACTATAACCCCAATTAGGGTCCCTTTTAGGGTACTTATAAGTCTACTTATTCCCTACTTACTAAGTCTCCCGACTCTCCAAGTAAGCTTATAGAATTATAGAAATTCTTACCTTAGAAACCCCTAACCCTATAAACCCTAGACCCTAAGGATTTGAGTTCAGGCTCATCCAGGGTTTAAGGCGTCAGCTCTGGCTTTCAGAGGCCGTGTGGTTTCGGTTTTAGGGTTTATGGGAGTTTTTTGGTACTTGTTTTAGGGGTTTAGGGTTTAGGGTTTAGGGTTTTTAGGGTTTAGTGTTTAGGGTTTAGGGGTTAGCTATCGTTGGGAACCTTGTTTCTCCAACTCGTCCATACAGGTTGTTATAGTCAGGGCTTTGGGAGGTCTCAGAGAATTTAAAAGGAGTTTAACAGCAGGGTGCTAGAGGGTCCTCCAGGTTTTGGTAAGTGTTTCTAGTTGCCGGTAGGTTTGGGAGTCTACGGACAGGGTTCTTTTTGGTGCCCTAAACCCTAAACCCTACACCGCGCAAAGGCAAGGCTCTGAGAGGGATTTGTAAAAGAGGGGTTCGCGGGTTCAGGGTTCGGGTTTGGGCTAGAGTCTCGGTTTGGGGTTTCGGGTTCTTAATTAAGGGCTTTCTCTCTCCAAATTTCCGGAGTTGAGGTTGCGATAAACAGGGTTTCGCATCTTGGAACACTGTAATTACACCGTTGCAGATGAGCTTGGTTGGATCAGTTGGATCCAGTTTAAGTTGCCTCGTGGGAACCATGATACAATAAGTGCCTAGACTTCTTTGTCTGCGTACTTCGCGACCCAACATCAGTCATGTCCCCGATGTTGAGGCTTTTCTGATCCTTTCCTGGTTGAAGATTTATTACCCGTCTGAGTATTCAGCGTTTTTTGCCGTTGCAACAAACAACTACATGTTGGAGAGTTGCCATTAGGGCGTAGGGTTTAGGGTGCCGCACAGTGTTGCAAACCAGACTAAAACGCCCCCCAAATATCTGCAGACAAAGGTGAGCTTGAGGCTCAAACCCTAAACCCTGCACCACCCTAAACCCTAAGCCCCTGAACCCCTGAACCCTAAACCCGAAACCCCTAAACCCCGCACCCGTAAATCCCTAAACCTCTGAACCCTAAACCCGAAAGCTGTAAGGATCTTCAGCACAAGTTGCTTCTTTCTCGCCGAGATGGCCGGACCAGTGCAACTCTTGTAATTGTATCGTAGGGACTACCTGTAGCTCCAAAACCCTACAAAATAGTTGGTTATGAAAGCTTAGTTCTAGGATCTAGTCTGTAAAATCGTAGGTTTTCGGATCCACGGGTATGTATACTTTGAGGGACTAGGAGCTCAGAGTTTAGAGTTTTGAGCTTTAGGGCTTAGGGTTTAGGGGTTCAGGTTTTCGGGTTCAGAGTTGGAGTTTGGGATTTCGGATGTATGTGCAGGCTCTGACGCTGTTACTGCCCTCGGCGCCGACTAGTATAGTCAACCGGAAGTAACCATCAATCTAGGACATTTTCAGGTGGGTAGTTACCGTTGTAGGAGCCTTACAGAAGGTCTATATACCTGATAGAAGCCATACAAAGACTTGCCTCAGGTCTGTTTCTTTTACTGTTGAGCACGACGGCAGTTGGCAAGCCTCTACCCTGAACCCTAAATTAAAGGAAACTACAGGTGGGGGAGTTTAGGGTATATAGGGCTTCGGTAAGGCTTCTATAAGGCATATAGATCTTCTATAAGGCTCCTATAACGGTACCTACCCACCTGAAAATGTCCTAGACTAAACCCTGGTTCTTGGTTTTAGGGATGTGGGCCCCGTAGGGTGCAGAGTTGTGGATTTGAGGGAATTGGGGTTCGTTGGGTCGTCGGCGTGCTGCCAGATTGCAGCCTTGAGCTCCAAACGCCCGACATATTTTCATCTAAACGCACTCCCTAGCACTGTAACAAATGCCTGTGAACGTCCGGCAAAATTGCTAATCCCTAAACCCTAAACCCTAAACTAACCGTGAGGCCTGCAAATCCCTAAACCCTAAACCCTAAACCCCTCAACCCGAAACCCTAAACCCTAAAACCGTGAGGCCTGAAGTATCTTGACTTCTTGTCCAAGATGGTTGACAACCTGACGGGTGCGGATGGCACGAGCCTTGGAGGGCTCATCTTTGCGGGTTCCTGGGAATTGCCTTGGCATTTTTAATTTTTTTGAGGGCCTGAAGAATTTCCTATACTATTTTTGGGGGTTCCGTGTTATAACTATCGTAGAATGTAGCCCAAAACCCTATTCTAACTATCAAGGCCCGTACATTATGTAGTAACAAACTTTACATGCGCATTAATTTTAGGCTTAGTAGGGTGTCAGAAGGGTTTAGGGAACTGCATATGATCAGTAACCGTATTGGTTGTTTGTTTTTGGCTCTAAAAGGCAGTAGTCGTCGTGGTCGTCGTCGTTGCGATGCTAGTGGCACGGGCATCGTGGACACTAAGCTCTGCTGGAATTTGTGTGTACGTTTCAACCTGACCCAGAAACTCCTGCTCCCGATAGATACCTTCCAGCACGCAATCCTTACACGTCAAGCATTCCCCTGAACCCTAAACCCCAAGCCCTAAACCTCGTACCCTAAACCTCTCATCCCTTAAAGCCCTAAGCCCCTGAACCCTAAAGTTCAAATCCAAAGCACCTAATATAGGGGAATAGGTTTTGGGGTAGGTAATTATCTAGGCTTCCATCGTACATCCCCTAATCCCCTCGCTCCTTTAAAGCCTTCGAAACCCAATTCCCTCAAAGCCCTTAACCCTTAAGCCCTTAAGCTCTAACCCCTAGTCCCGAACACCCTGAACCCTAAACCCTAAATCCTAAACCCTGAACCCAATATTAGCTCCAGGCTTTGGAAAGACGTCGCTTAGGGTTTAGGGGCCCGACACTGTTGGTGTTTCGTGTTTGGGATTTGGAGTTTAGGGTTGGGTTTTAGGAAGTCTAAACCCTAAACCCGAAACCCTAAACCGTGATTTTAGGAACCCGGAACCCTAAACCCTAAACCGTGATTTTAGGAACCCTAAACCCTAAACACTAAACCCGAAACCTGAGAACTGCCCAGCATGGATCAACAACACACTGGACTTCCGAGTAAGTTCAGATCTCTAAGACCCCTCAATAGCTTAATGGAGGGGCCTTAAGAATTAGAATATGATTTTGGGCCCCTTTGTAGTAGAATACGGAACTTAAGGAATAATTCGGGTAATCATTTAGGCGTCTATAGTACATCCCTGATCGATTTGGGGGTGTTTTCCCGGTTTAAGTGCTGTTCCGATTCCTTTTGCGATTAACCGCCGCTGTGCTACTGTTGATTATATAAATCCTGCACTACCTTAAAGACTCTAAACTATGAGAATTATGGTCTATTCCTGATATTATGGGTAATGCAGGATTTATATCATCAACCGTACCAGTACAATTCCCCTAAACCCCAACCCCTAAGCCCCCCTAAGCCCTAAACCATAAACCCTGAGCCCTAAGCCCTACTCTTCTACGGTATCATTCAGCCCGGTTGGCCCAGGCAACCTTCCCATCTTCCATCCCAGCTCGGCAGCGACGCTGCTGCTATGTACAGCGGAGCTTTTCGCCCTCTTTGGCCAGCAGGACCAGGGTGCAGTCTGAATTTGGGCACCTTTGGAAACCGCAGACCTTCACCCCAAACCCGGAACCGCAAACCCCAAACCCTAAACGCTTAGGGATACTCACCCGTATAGGGCTCTTTGAAGGAACCCTTTAAAAGGAACCCTAAACACTGAACTCGGGACCGACCCAACACCGCTGAAGCCCTACACCGCAATCAAACACGGGGCTGAAGGGTTGAGTTAAGAGTGCAGGGAAGTCATTTGGTTCCTTTAAGGGGAATGTAGGGTTCTAGAGTGGGGTTCCCTGTATGGGTTTAGACTTTAGGGTCTATATAGAGGTTCAGGGGACACCATGTTTATAATTACTTCTAACTCCAATTGCGGTACCTGTAACCTTACTTTCCAAGTCCCATGATCCTCCGCTCCTAAACCCTAAACCCTGGTTTAGGGTTTGGGGCCCCCTGGTCTGTGTGATTGGTAGTAGCATCCCCTTAGTCCTTACTATTCCAACAATGAAGTCCCCGATGCTAGATCCTTGTATCGTACCCCCCTTAAAGGAGCCCATCAAGACAAGCCTATTGAAACCAGGCTAGCAGGAAGTTGTGTTCTGTTTGCCAGCTATGGTTTTCAGCTTTCAGAGCATAGCTTTGGCTTCGTTGAGGGATATTGGTCCAGGATTTCTTAGGCTGTTGGGTTTAGGTGTTGGGTGTGGGGTTTTGAGCTTATGGGCCGTTCATGAACCACTTTCAGTCTTCAGGGTTACCTTGACCCCAAATGACAATTTTTTTGATAGGTTCATACAAAGAAAACATAATAAGGAACCCTAACAACTATCGGCATCCTCATCTGCATTGTAAAGTAAGACAGAAGCTTCGCGAAAAGCCTTTAACCCGTCTCCGTGGAATTTTTCATATAATATAACCCCAAAACACTCTGATAACTGTGAGGCCATTACATTAGACGCCCAAACCCTATTCTAATAATATCCCTTACTACGCAATTTAGTAGACCTCAGAACCGTTTACTAATTATGACGGCCCTTGTATTGGACACCTACAGCCCTTCTCTGCAGGAGCCGGCTAAAACACGCCTAACCCTGAACCCTAACCGGCCCTAACCCTGAACCATAACCCTGTATCATAAACCTTGAACCCTGAACCAGACGCTCTAAACCTCGAACCGCAAAACCTAAACGCTGAATCCTATCCCCTCTTCCGTGCAGGAGCGTGCGGCTGATTACAGCCGAGCCTACATCGCCATGGCACGGCTGGCACACGGCGAGGTGCTCTACGTAGGGTGCAACGGTTGATGATATAAATCCTGCATTACCCATAAGAAGGAATATTCCATAATTCTACCATAATTCCCGCAGTTTAGGGTCCTTAGGGTAATGCAGGATTTAGATCATCCACAGTAGGGCTTAGGGTTGAGGCGGTCTAGGGCTTAGGGATCCTTTGGTTTAGGGCTTAGGGATGAGGGTTTAGGATGTCGGGGTTGGGGATTCAGGTTGGTTTAGGGTTTAGGGTTTAGGGTTTAGGGTCTAGGGTTTAGGTTTAGGGTTTAGGGATTTAGGGTTTAGGGATTTTAGGGTTTACCTGGGGATCCCAAAACCTACTGTTTTGAGGGCTCTACCCTCTAATGAAGGGGTCATAACCTACTCTTTTCTAGGGTCTGAGGTCACAGGTAGGTTTTAGGATTTCAGGGTTGAGGGCTAGGGCTTTAGGGGCATCGGTTTTTGGGTTCAGGGTTTTGGGCTTTGGGCCTTAATTAAGGTTTTCAGGATTCGGGGTGTCGGGCTTGGGGTGTAACGGTTTAGGGGTTTCGGGTCGGGGGCTTTAGGTTTTTATGGTTTCGGCGATTACTCTAGGGTTAAGGTTGGTTTGGGGTTCTAAGAGACACCCAAATTCCCGAAAGTAACTGATAACAACTCAACCCTAATGCCTAAAAACCTCTATAATGATAGATACATGCAGGACTGAAGGGGATTGCAGTGTCTTGTTGAACGGCTTGCCAGGGTCTTGATACCGATGTTTAGGGTTCAGTGTTTAGGGGCTTCTGGCGATCTTCATAGGGGTTGAGGGGGGTCTGCCTATAGAAGGGGCTTTTTACGGTTTCCCACCTGCCAGAATCTCATTGTTTCAGTGTTTAGGGTTTCGGTGGTTCCGGATCCCGGTAGCACCCAGGTTCACCCTAGAGGTTCCCTAGTCTGTTCATAGTTTTTGAAGCCCTCCCCCCAGGCTTGTCCAATGATTTCGGCCTCTATGTGTCCAAACCCCAAACCCTAAACCTTATAGGCTTCTCTAATACGACTCTATAATTACCCCAAAGCCTACGTAGGCCCTAAACCCAGAACCCTAAACCCTAGACCCTAAACCGAATTCCGCTGTTGTCCAGGGCTCCCCTCCTGTCGGCGACGCGTACGGCTTTCACATGGCCCTCCTGGCCCGCCTGCGCCCCGGCGGCGGGGCTTCGCCCTCTCTTCAACTCAGGAGCTTTCAAAGGGGAACCCCGAAACCTAAAACCCCAAACGGTTTAGGGCTTTGGGTTTAGGCTAAAACCCTAAGCCCTGAAAACTGAACCCTAAACCCTGACGCTGTAGCCTGAATCCTGAACCCCTAATCCCTGAACCCTAGACTAGACATACTTGTACCTCTGGATCCCGACACCTGCAGTTTGCAGGTTCATAACCTACAAGAGTCTTGGGGTTTAGTTAGGGTTCAGGGTTTAGGGGGGTCATAGCCGACTGGGGTCTAGGGTTTGGGGCTGCAGGTAAGGATTCTACTGAGGTTTTAACTCCATGGTTTCCTAAGGCATTTGTACAGCTCTGTAGGGTTTCCCAAGTTTTGATAGGGGCTTACAAACCTAAACCCTAAACCCTACACCCTAAACCCCTAAACCCCAAAAGCCCTAAACCCCTACACCTAAACTAGAAAACCCTAAAATCTAAAGCCTACAGACAGAGGAGGGCACTCCGCGCCGGGCTGGGTCAGCTCTCGGGTGTAGGTCGAATATAGGGGCCTTAATAATTGGAATAGGGTTTAGGGTTTAGGGTTTAGGGTTCAGGGTCTAGGGTTTAGGGTTTAGGGTTTAATGTAGCTAATGCAGGGGCCTTAATAATTCAAACAGGGTCTTGGGGTAT